TTAAACTCCATCTGCTGTTCCTCAGCCCACTGGCCTAGTTGATCAAGACCCCGTTGTACTCTTAGATAACCTTCATCACTGTCCAATACACCACCAATGTTGGTGTCATCTGTAAACTTGCCTTTTATGTTTTCATCCAAATTGTTTATATAAATGACAAACAATGATGACAAAGGTGTCATCCATGTCATTAAACGGACAAAACTAGAGGAGACACACAAACTTATAAACAATACCCTCACCGGAATAAAATTCACCAGAGAGGAGGAGAAGAACAAACAGCTCCCACTCCTGGACGTCATGGTAGAGCGCAAGACAAATGGGGAACTGCAAACGAAAGTACACAGAAAAGTCACACACACGGACCAGGTACTGAACTTCAACAATAACCATCCCAACACACACAAATGAAGCTGCGTGCGAACACTATTTAAACGGGCAACAACACACTGCAGCAACACAGAACTACGCCAAGAGGAAGAAGAATACCTCTTCCAGGTTTTCAAGGATAATGGATACTCAAAAAACTGGGTCAGAAGATGCCTACATGAACAACACCAGGAAGATACTACACGCCCCGACACACTCAGCACACTACCCTACGTCAGGAACACATCGGAACTAACCACAAGACTCCTACGACCGCTGGGCATCAAAGTGGCACACAAGCCCATATCAACCCTATGATAACGGCTCACCCGAACTAAAGACCCACTCCCCGCTATGGACAGGACCAATGTCATCTGTAAGGTCCCCTGCAGAAACTGTGAGAAACACTACATCCGACAAACAGGAAGGAAACTAACAACAAGGGTACACAAACACCAACTAGCTACAAAAAGACACGACCAATACTCACTCATCTCTATCCACATGGATAAGGAGAACCACCAATTCGACACCAAAATCCTGGACAAGCTAAGCAGAGATAGTAGGAACTGCAGATGCTGGAGAATCTGAGATAACAAGGTGTAGAGCTGGATGAACACAGCAGGCCAAGCAGCATCAGAGGAGCAGGAAGGCTGACATTTCGGGCCTTTTTTCTGCAGAAGGTTCTAGGCCCAAAACGTCAGCC